GGGGCACGTTAGGGGCTTCCTCGGCGCTGCCGGTGGCTGGTTCCTGGGCGCAGCTGATGCTGGGTGGGACGGGAGCTGCTGCAGGGGACAGGCTCTCTGGAAGGAGCCTGCGCTGTGACAGGCACGGGCTGTTTGCTGCCACGACAGACCTCGTCCTCTGGCAGCCCCGCAGCTTGTTCTTGGGCAGGTTTCATTCTGAGTGTTTTCCTCGCTGTGTGTGTTTATACTGGAGTTCCTCAGTGTCTTGTGACTGTGAACATGCTGCTTTTCCAGAGCCATGGATTTTCCAAATTGGCCAGGCAGGTGCTGACTCCGTGTTCGGGAGTGGAGTGGGTAGTTAGTAACTCTCCCGGCTGGTTTAGCCTGAATTTCCTCAGGCAGAGCATCTGTGCAGTGGCTGAGTCATTAAAGGCACTTTCAGACATGGGTATGGAAGATGTGCTGCAAACTCAAATCCTGTTTGGCACCTGGTTTATTAGCAGAATATAGTGTGTGGTGTTGGGTCAGGGTTTTTCCCCCTGCCGAAAGGAGGACACATGTCTAGTAGAAACATGAATCTATGTATAAATCTATAAGAAGCAGATTCATTGCTGTTTGCTCTTCAGAAAAGGCAGGAATAGGTGGCAGAGAGCTGCAGAGCAGCGTCTGAAAAGCCCAGAACATGCCATAAATTTGACTCAGTTTGAGAGTGTGAAATTTAGACATTCATCATGACAATGCTGAATTAAAATTTCTAATGCACTTGCTGAAATGTTGTGACAATTGTATTGGGGTTCGTTTTGGAAAATGTCCTTTTGGGAGGGAATGTTATTTGAAGATTGTAACTGTGGCAGAGGCAGGAATGTCATCCTGAAAAGACTGAGCTGCTTTGTCAACAGGGATAATCCTGCTGATGGCAGCAGGACAGGCTGCTGGCCCGCTGTTTAGTGTGAACACGTGCTTTACCAGGTTGAAAACTAAGAATGATTTGATTATCTGTCTGGATCTGATTAAACACCAGTTTAAGTTGGCATCTTGGTCATGCTGCCAAACCAAGGTGGCCTCAGTGCTGTAGAAATCTCAAATGAGTCACAGGAAATGCCACTCTCCTACTTGACATGAAGGCATAATTCATGTCCCTGACAAATCCCAGCTGAGGGCTGTTGCCGGGTGAAAGCATTGCCTTGTTCTTGGGCTGTAGAGGGTTAATAAATGGAGGAAGATGTGGGTTACAGATGTGACAGGCTCTATCTGCTTATCAGTTTTGTTTGAGTCTTTGATGTCCTGGCAGCACATACAGTTATTGATAAGCCTGACTTGTCCTTTGTAGTGCTGAGAAGTGTTTTATGAGAAGGAGCTGGAATTCTTGTGGCAATTAAGAACGTGTTAAAGAATGAACCATTTACTCAGGGAAAGACTGAAATAAGAAAACAGCTTAAGCCACTGTAATTTTGCACATCTCCTCAGCGTGTGCTTCGCTCTCTTGAGGGATCTCTTCCAGAATCTCTGCTGCTCCTGACTGTGAGTTTTCCTCCTGTGTACCAAGTTCCCTGGCTCTGAGCTGAGATGGCATTTCTAGGTAGAAGGTGGCTTGTTCACTCGGCTGTCCTAGTCCAGTCAAGGCTCTGCTTGGGGAGAGAGGTTCTGTCAGTAACGTGGCTCAGGGCTTTATTTTAAGATCTGAAAATGTCTCATTTGGAAATCCCTGGATATTTTTTGTTCTTTATTTACTCACAAAGCAAAGTCTTACACTGTGATAACAATGGAAGTAGCTAATCTTTGTCTTTTGAAAAGCAGCTTGTGCAGTCTGAAGAGCTGCAGTTGTTTACTAATCCTGTTAATGCTGTCCCTCGACACAGCAGATTCTCACAACACATGAACTCAGTGTCTGTGTGTCTAGTGGGATAATGCTCCAACCCCGGGACACAGAGAAAAGCTCTTCAGCTGAGGGATGCTGCTGAGAAAGGTGCTGTTGGACAATGAGCTACACTTCAGCGTGGATACAGATGGGTGTGAGTAAGGGTTGAAACAGCATAGTGCTGGGAAGCCCTGGAAATCTGAAGGGGGAGAGGTGGTACGTGCCTGAAGATCATGACATGGACAAACTCTGCTTTTAGGGTAGCAATGGAAAGTGTAATAACTGGGATTACTTTATCTGGGGGCCAGGGGTGAGATTGGGATGATGTGGTTGTAGTCTAAAAGGAGAAGGCAGAATTCCTTTCATTCTGACAGTCAGCAAAAGCAGCAGGACCAAAGCTGGCGCTGAACAGCCTGTGACGGGGTGTATTTTCAAGGGTAACTATTTCTTAGGCTAACTCACTGAAGGGGGGGGCTGTTGCTCAGGACACTGATTTCTGTTCGAATGGTGCCTCATCTCAGGCAGCTGCTGTGTGATCTTCCATGGCCTGGACAGCATCAGAGACTTTCGTAACAGTAGGTGTCAGGAAGTAAAATCCCTTTTCAGACAGGCATAGAAACTAGAGGTAGTGCTCATAAGGATGAGGTGAGGTGGCTTCCCATCCCACATGGGTATTTACCTGCCAGTGGAAGTTCTCTGATCTGGGTCATTTTTGGCCATGGCTGCCCCTGTTTCAGGGAACAACCAGCTGCGGAGGGTTTTGTCCTTCAGCATCTGGGTCTGCAGAGCTTCAAGGGGAAGGACTGTCTTTTGAAGCCGCCTGTGTGCTCCTCCTGAATGCATGGCAGGCGAGAGGAAAAATCCAGGAAATGCAGGGGGAGGCCCCGGGAGAGCATTCCCATGTCCCTGTACCAGGAGACTGCAACAGGAAGTCAGTGAAATAGATGGGACTAGAACCACCATGTGAAAGTAGAGCTGGAAAAGGGCAAATTGTGTGAAAGCTCTATCTGAAATAACCAGTGATGACAGAAAATCTGGGGAGCGTTATTTTCATCTAGTGGGGAGAAGAGGAAAAGGGTAAAATAGAGGGGAATGTGCTTTTGGAGTTAATTTGATTTGCAGTCAGTGCTGGAGAGTTCTTCCCCACGTCCTCCAGATACCTTCTGGATGTGCCTTTGTAAAAGGTGCCCTGAGGAACACACGACAGTGTGCAGTTTGTTCTGTGCAGTGCAGTGTGTCAGGGTGTGTGTACACAGCTGTGGTGGGTGTGTGCATACGTGTACAGACATCATGCTGTATCCAGCATCCAGGTTAGGGGAAGTGTTCTTGAGCGTTGACTGCACCTTACAGGTTGTGACTTGAAATCCTGCTGGGAGCTTGGGGCCTTCACATCTTGGGGCTTTTTAATATTCATGGCTTCAGGGCACCTTTAATAACACTTCAGGTGTTAAAGCTGTGTCCATGGGAATTTGCAAGGCCTCTGATAGTGCATCTCTGCGGGATGAAGTGCAGTCTCACTGAGCTGCCTTTGCTGGGCCCTGCACATCCTCTTGAAATAGGATGTAGTTGAGGGGGTTAATGTGCAATTCATTGCTGGGTTGTTTCCACCGCTTCAGTTTTTGGTGCATGTCACTGTTGGATGCCTTTGTGGCTGCTGCTTTCCTCTCAGCAATTCTTGGGCTCCGGTATGTTTGTTTCAGTGGTTCAGGCAGGGATCAAGAGGTGAAGTTTTAGTTTTTCTGCCAGGAAAGGAAACTGATGGTATTTCACATGCATGTGGGTAGCAGGAGGGAGCTGTGGGAGCCAGGCAGCAGTTCATGCACTCACTGAGCGGGTTGTGACCCTGCTTTACGAAGCTTCTCATTTTTGGTAATTGTTTCCCAACTCCCTTCACATTGGTCATTTCTTATAAATACACTGTCACTGGGACATTCTTATCTGACATGTGTTAATGAGTACGTACGAGAAGTACTTCAGGCTAAGAGGCAAGCAGCGAGAGCTGAGGAGTACCCAAGCAAGCTGCTGTAGCAGAGGTGCGTATTTCATGGTTTTAAATAGAAATGTTACATGAGCATATATCCCTCTTTACTCTCTAACTTCACTCTCTTCTCTTTTCCCATCTCTGTTTAGCCTCTGGCGTGTGTTTTCGCTGACTTGTGAGGTGTTTCCCGTTCATACATCTGGCTCATTTACAGCGCAGGAAAGCAGACGGACCGGCTGCTCTTCCTCTTCACTTTCTAGATCCTCATTAACACCCAACCAGCTGGTTTTCAGTTGATGCAGTTCCTGTGATGACTTATGACATGTTACTGCCTGACCTGGCACAGGAATGGAAGTGTCCAGGGCAAATTCTAAGCTAAAATAAGATGAAGTCTGTGCTGTGTAACTGGACAAGGTGAGCCGAGTCATGCGGAAGGAATTCCCAGTCATGTCCATTAGTCAGTTTTACAAGGTTCAAGCAAAGCTTCCTGTGAATGGAACACTGTCAGATTCATTCAGTGGGGTGTAATTCTGATTTTGCATTTGTTTTGAGGACTCAGGTCTGTCACTTGGCCGCTGTGGATGTAGGATGCTGCATACAGGGAGGGAATGTTGCTTAGCAAAAGCATTCATGTGGTACAGTGCCAGGGATTTCTGTATCATCCTCAAACTCCTGCTTACAGCAAAGATCTCGTTACTTTGTCTAATAGAAGCAAATAGCATCCAAATACTATTAATCTTAATGAAAGCCTACCTTCAGCAAGGCCATCAGCTAGAGACAGGGCGCAGACAGGACCATGGGAAGTAGCCGCTTCTTTCAAGTGCACTTTGTATTCTTTCAGCTTTATACAACAGAGGGGCCTTAAGCAGGGATCTGCAATATGCAGTTTCAGAGCATGTCATGGGCTACGTGAAGAACATGGATTCCCATGAAACCTGCTTCCAGAGTCCGTGGTGGCAGAATATGGCCACAGCTGGAAAAAGGAAAGCCCTTGAGCCTGGGAGAGGGTCTCTTCTGCGTGTTCCCCAGTGGAGCTGAGGTGTGTTCCTGAGAGGAGCTGAGGTGTGTTAGTGAGTAGTGCAGATGGCAAATACAAGCAAACAGGCCTTGTACAAAGGGTTGTACCTCCTGGTAGGTGCTGCTTCTGTGTTGCACAGAACTTCAGGCTTCCCTGCTGCTAGGAGCAGCCGCCCAGAAGGGTGGGGTGGTCTCCGGGCTCTGCCCTGATGCCCATGTTCAGACCCTTCCCTTGTTGGGTGCTGTGTGGTGGGGCTCCAGCACGGTCAGTGCTGCCTGGCCTGGCCCTGGCAGTGGGCTCTGGTGTCCTCAACAGCTCTGCCACAAATCACACAACATTTTGGTACCAGAGCAGATGGAAAGTGTTAAGCATGCACAGCAGTCTGTGTTGTGTATCCAAGCTGTCCAGCAAGTACTCATCTCTTCTAGGAAATCTTGCTTCCTGGATTACTCCCTTAGAACATCATTCCCATTCCTGAATTCAGTGACGTTTTTCTGAGCCAGAGGCTTTAGTGGTTTGGGGGTTGCTGCTCCTTTTCCAGTTCTTCTGCAGCAAAACCAATCTGCAGCTACTCACTCCTGACACTGGCATTCTTGAGGAAGTGCTGCCCTTTCTTTCCTGGCTTCATACTCATCACTCCCTGACAGTCCTGAACTACGGCTCATTAATTTACTGCCTTCTTCTGAGACAGTCTCCTGGGGTCTCTGATCCAGCCTCTTCCACCTCCTCTCTGTGAGCTTTTGCAATACAATAATACAATAAATACTTCTGCTGTCTCTGTCCCATGCGTGCAGGAGCCGGTGCTCTGCTCTCCCCTGCCCCACACTGAGCAGAGCACTCCTGTTACCAGCCTTTTTCCCCACCGCTGGCTTCCCCATTCTCCTGGAAGGTGTCGGGATGCAGCACTGCCCTGGCTTGCCTCTTTACCTGCTCGCACCCTCTATTCATGCCTGAAAATCTGGGGTGATTTCCTGGTTTTGTTCTGTCTTCATAATGTGACTTTCTTGACTTCTCTCCCTGTTTAAGTATTTCCCAAAATGGTACCGTCGGGCATCGTTAGTTTGATTCTGGTTCTTTTGTCTTTCATTAATCAAATCCTCACAGTCCTAAATGAAGGGGTGCACCTTCTCCTGAGCTGGTTTTGTTGTTGCCCTTCTCCAGCCTCAGAACAATGCACTTGGGTTTACAAACCTGGTAGAGCTTTGTTTGAACTTGACCATACATATCCTGTGCATATCACAGAAGTATTTGGTTATGATGGTGAGTGAACTCCCTGAACCTCATAAAAGGATTTAAGTTTGAAACAGGCTGTTACAGAACATGCTTTCTTGGTGCTGACAGGGAATTGATGGACTATTTCTGTAGCTGTTGTGGGTGTGTGAGTTGTGGTGTAGGGGTATGTGCGTTGTGGAGGCTGCCTGTGCTCTCACTGTTCTAATTCAAAGTCATGAAACACAGCGAGTGTAAACTCCTTGCTTGTAACCCTGCAGGAACTGCTGCGCTTTGATATTTGGAGAAGGTGAAGAGACTTTTCCGTCACTGAGAAGGTCAGAAAGGCTGGATTAAAGTTGTAAACGCTTCAGAAAGATGTTGTGATTAAATGTGTGCCTTGTTTTATTTGATCTTCAAAGATAAACTGCTCTTCTCTTTGTGAAGTAATTAAGAAATGAAAAGTGAGTGAATATTACAGCAGACTCTGTGGAAGCTTCTTTTGTGTGTGATTTTTAAGCTCATTCTTTCCTGCATTCTGGAGGTGCCATGGAAAATAGGCCATGGGTAGAGATGGGAGCATTGCAAAAGACATGATGTGATACTGGGGTTTTGTTATTTAAACAGCTGTCTTTTAATTAAAAACTGTCTTTTGTGACTGTTACATAAATATTTACAATTACAAAACTTTGAAAGTTACCTAAAAATCAATCTTCAATTGAGCTTCTGCGTTGGGTAATGCGGATCTGCTCTGAAATGGCCTTGACCAGAACTCACCAAAGTACAATTCATTCTTTCAGTTTTGGGGTCCAAACTGTTCCTCTGTCTTCTCAGTACAAGATACTAGTCACTGCTAGCTGTGTCTCCTGGATCACAGAGGTTTCTGAAGCTACATAGGTATTTCTTGCTGGATTTTTAATGCTCAATCCAGGCCTCATTTGTGGAAAACCCACTTGCAGGTTTCCTCTTCAGGGGTTTTAACTTACTGGTTTTCCTCTTTATAATAAAATTCTGAAAACTTTGGTCTCTGCATTTTGCTTGGTTTCAGTCCAGTGTGGATGAGTCTTTCTGGTTTACATGTAGTGATCATACGTGTGTTTCAGTGTTTGCTGACATGCCAGTGTCATGGTAAGCTGCTGGGGTTGCTAATGTGAGTTGTCTGACAACTCATAGACACCATTTCACAACCAAACTTGGGCTTGATTAATAACCTGAAAGGGAGAATTGGATTATCTTAAATAGTTAAAATAGATGAGGCTTGACAGAAAAACTGGTATTTGAGCAGCACAGTAACAGCAGTATGTGGTGTACCTGAGCCTGCTGCCCGTGGCAGCCGGGCTGTGCCTGAGGAACACCCTGTCAGTGTCCCAGTAGCCTGGGGAAGGATCCAGAACAGAGCAGCTCTGCAGTGACCCTTCCAGTACCACACCAGGATGTGGGTGAGGCTTGGGGGTGTTTTACACAGCTGCTGTTCCAGTGACACTGGATCTGTGATTTGGGGGTGCCAAAGCCTGTGGGCAGGCTGTGGATCTGGCTGCAGATGACGGGGTCTGTGCTCATGCCAGTGGTTACTCTGAGAGCCAGTGCCCCTCCACCTTCCCTCGGAATCCTTACCTGCAAAATACTTGTGGCGTAGCTAAAAGCACTGTTAATGGGCCTGTGCTTAATCTCTATTCTCTTGTCTCTCTCCCTCAGGAATATAAACAGAAGCTTGCTCGGGTAACCCAGGTCCGCAAGGAGCTGAAATCCCACATCCAGAGCCTTCCCGATCTGTCACTGCTGCCCAATGTCACGGGGGGGCTGGCACCTCTGCCGTCTGCTGGTGACCTCTTCTCAACAGACTAGAACAAACGGTGTCCCCAGTTTCCAATATTACCAGCAGAAGTGAGAAGACTGGTGTAGCCTGGAAATCCAGCCCGCCGAGATCTCCAGTGGGAAGGAACCTGCAGACCCTGCTTTGCCCCTTGGCTGCTCATGCTCCCCCTCTCTGTGTCCACTGGCCCACGCTGAGGGGAGGATGAAGAGCGAGGCTTTGTGAGCTCCACAGCGAGTGGGGACAGTCCCATCTAGGCAAACTTTTCTTGTATTTTTCCATACTCTTCAGTTGCTGTTTGCTCTTAGCACTCGTTACCCCCCAAAAGTCATGTGAATCATGTACATATGTACCTGGGATGTTTTCAAAGGAAGGTTGACCCCATCGCACTTCTCCTCTGTAGAAGAATCCTGTTGTTTCTGGAGGAGTCTGGCCTGGTTTTGCTGGGTTTGAGCCTGGTCTCTGGAGCAGGAGTGGCTGATGGGCTGCCGGGGCGGGTGCACGTGCCGCACCACGGGAAGAGGCGGCTTCTGCCAAGCAGTGGTACAGAGAAATGGTATTCTTAAACCTGCAGTTCCTCATGGTGGTGTGGGGCTGAGGTGAAGATCCTTCCTGTTTGGCTTGTACATAAATTGAAACTCACCACAGGCAACAAAAATGAGCAGCTTTTCTTTGTGAGTTAGAGATAGCTTCAAAAGTTACACTGCTGAGCAGCGCAGAGCTGGGTATTGCCTCGGTGAGAGGGGAAGGAAGTTCTGTTCTAGCTGCCCTAGATTTATACCACATTTTTCCTCTTCATTACACAAAACATGATGGTCCCAAAGCTTTGGTTTAACCACCGGAGAGGCTGGAAGGGTGTATTGCAGCTGCTGGTGTCCCTGTGACAAGCAGCTGATCGACTCTTGGGATGGCTGCATTGAAAATAGTATTCCATGAATCTCTCCATAGCTTTAGAGAAGTTGTTTGATGCACAGAAGTTAAATGTGGTATAAATATTTATTTATGTAGAACATAGGCCCATATATATGCACATACCCTGTATACACATGTACCATGTCTCTGCGTGTAGATATTAGAAGGATGTACTTAAAGGATGTACTTAATTTTGTGTCACAGATTATTGTGGGTTGAGTTTTATAATCAGGAGAAGTAAAAAAGAAAAAAAAAAAGAGAAAAGGCAAATTTAAAACACTTAATTCCATTCTGTTGCTGGCTGATGGCTTCATGCCGTGGCTGGCGTTCCAGTTCAGCGTGTGTGTTAGGTTCGATAAGCTGGACTCTGATCACTGAAAACCATTCCAATCTGGATAACCATTCTGTTCCAGTCTGGATAACGCTTCTGTTGCAGTTTAGCACCTCTCACTAGGGAACCTCTATAAAACCTTTCGAGTTTCTGGCAACACTGGACCTGGGAGTGCAGGTTTAGTGGCAGAGGCTGAGGTAAGGCTGTGTCTGCGCCTCCCTGTCCTCAAGGAAGGGAGAGGAGCTCTGTGGAAATGCAAAGCTCTTCTGTATCCTCCTCATTTCTTTCACAGGGTGTTTGTAGCCCACTCAGCACTCACTTAAACGAGTACTGCAGCGTTTGCTGGTCCTGAACCTGTTCAGAAGCTCACATCCTTTCACTCCTGACCCTTCGTTTGTCCTTGTTCGAGTCTCCTCGCCCCGCACGGCCCAGCCCAGAAACGTGGTTTTTCTCTTCAGTTTACAGGGAATTCTCCAGTGACAGGGCTGTTCCCTTGGTGAGTCTGTGTGATTGTGCAGCCCTCATGGTCCAAACTGATGTAGATAAAGCACAGGGTGTCCTCTGCTCTTGCCAAAAAGGAAGAAACAAACCCCCAAACCTCCAGAGCCCAACCCAGTGCCTCACCCCGGCTCCCGGCGCTACCTCGGGACTGTTTGAACCAAGACTTACTTTGGCTGTTGATTGAACGTGTATCACTGAGGACAAAAACGCTGTCATCAAACAATGGCAGAGGCGCTGGCACCGCGGGCTCCTTCCTGGGCAGGTCTGTGGGAGTTGGGTGGCTCTTGGTTTTCATTGGAATGTTTTGATTTCTTTCCCCCAGTACGTGTGTGGTTTATTTTGCTTAATTTAAATGAAGTCTCGTGGGTTTTAATTTCATTTGGTTTACATTTTGGGCAAAGGGCCTCTGGTGAGCTGGTGACAGCCTCAAGGTTAAACAGATTTCCCCAGCGTGTGTCTTGTTTTTGTTTTATAACAAAAGCTTAAATCTGTATATGAATCGATTTAGGAATTAATTTAGACATATAGGCTGCCCTTCGTGGCAGCAGTATATTCTGAAACGTCTCATAGATATCTATTTTTGAATAAAGAGGGTGTCCTTGAAGAGTCGTGCTTTGACTTTTTCTGCCCCGCAGGTGTTGCTCGGGGTTTGCCCTTGGATCTGGGGTGGTTGGAGACGTGGAGGATCCCTGGAGCTGCCATGGACGGTCCCATCGCCGGCGGAGCAGCTGCTGAGTTCATAAATAATGAATTTAGGGTATATGGGGGACGTGAATAACGACTCCTGGGAAAAGCTCAAAAGCCAAACTGAGCAGGCCGCTGGGAGGCAACGGGAGGTGGAAGGTTATTTCTTTACATGTGTGTTCCGCAGGGGCTCCACATGGTACCGTTAGCAGGAGGTTTACCAAAGGCTGCTGACATGGATCAGTGCAGGCACCAGTAACACATCCTGAGGTTTAGGGTCTCGTCTCTTCTTTGTGGGAAGGGACAAGCACTGACCAAAGGCTGCCCCGTCTGCTGCCGGTGCCTGGCTGGCTCTCACCCCTCCCCTGTGTGTGTACGTCCAGCCCCGGCAGGATGGGGACCTGCGGAGCGGCAGAGCCAGAACTGAACCCAGCGGCTGGGCTGGTTCCTCCCGGGACTCCGTGAGGGTTTGGGCAGGCACAGACAGGATGCTTGAGCTGTAGCTGCTGGATGGACGTGCTGAAAAATGTGTCTTTCCATGGTGTCTCTTGTGGTCCTGGAAAAGGGAGATGGCTTCCCATGGGAGCTCTGCCATCTGGGTCTTCCTGTGTGCTTTGTCTCCTGGTGCCTCAGGTGTCCGTTGGTTCAGGCGGGGTGTAAAACATGTCCATGTTCTCGGAGGAGCTGTGCAGAGGCAATGGGATGGCAAACCCACCACACCCTACTTGTGTGTGCTCTGATTTAGGGGAGTTTGTTCCAGTCTCGATCTGCCAGAGAAGGTAAGGTAAAGGTCCTCAAGTCTGAAATGAGCTCACAGTCACCTCCTGAAGTCAGCATCTTCAGCGAGCTGGTGTGTGTGAATAACCTCTCCCTGACACGTAAACACTCCCATCACTTTGGCACTTGAGCTAGTGCTGGATTTCAAATTCTCCCGTGCAATGGGTGCTGGAAACGTTTAGTTTATAATTTATCTCTGGTATGGCAAAAGTGTCAGAGTCTTGGGTAGTGCAGGGCAGTGCTGGGCCATGCAGGATGTGCACAGGGAAGATGTCCCTGTGATGGTGCCTGTTCTGGAGGACTGGTCACACTGTTCTCACGGTCCTTAGGGGACAGTGGAGAAGGTGTGTGGGGCAAACACCCCACTTGTTAGAGGGGTGTTAAGTAGTTCATTAGCTTCTGCAAACAGCATGGAAGGGGTGGTGGATGCTGGATAATGGGGGAGAAACCAGCCCCAGAGAGCCAGACCCCAGAGTCAACCCACACCAGCAGCATTTGGAGGCTGTGAGGAGCCGGTTCCTCGCCGGGGCAGCCTTGCTGTGCCGAGCTCAGACGGATGGGAGTGACCTTCAGAAACGGCAGTGCTAATGTTTATTTTATCAGGGCCCAGCTTCGAGCCGCAGGAGCTGAGGGTTATTTTTAACCAGGTGTTGAGCAGCTTGAAGCCTGGCTCAGCAGAGCTGGGTAACAAATGCTCTGTGTCGTGGGGCTGCGCATCACTGCCCAGTGCCAGGTCCGCGCTCTTAACTCCTTCGGGCCCCGCTGCTCCCTGGGGCTGTCTGTGCACTGGGGTGGTCAAAGAGGAGACTGAGATGAGCTCTTGGGCAGAAGCTCTTCCCTGTGAGGGTGCTGAGGCGCTGGCACCGGGTGCCCAGAGAAGCTGTGGCTGCCCCATCCCTGGCAGTGTTCAAGGCCAGGCTGGACACAGGGGCTTGGAGCAACCTGCTCTAGTGGAAGGTGTCCCTGCCCGGGGCAGGGGTTGGAGCTGGAGGAGCTTTAAGGTCCCTTCCAACCCAAATCAGTCTGGGGTTCTGTGACAGCAGGAGGGTTGAGTTCTGGTGCATCTTCAGCGGTGCCCTGAGCCCTGTTCCAGGCTTGAGACCCAGCAATAACCCCCAGTGTCAGTGCTGGGCTGGGGGTCAATCGCCCCCCACCCGCTTGAGTGTTGCTGAGGAGCTGCCGACGCGTACGCTCAAG